TAAAAACAACAGAAAATTTAATTCACAACTATTACATACTCACGTTTCCTTCTTATTCATGGTTTAACATACTCCCAAACAGTTATTTTCAGATGGAGGCATGAATAAAGTTAAGAACTACAGGACAAAATTGCTATTATGTACTATACATGCATCTATCAACTAGCAACTGCATTTGCCTCCCAAGAATTACCAAGAATCCATTTACAGATTATTTTTTTTCCCTCCTTCTTTCTCAAATCAGAATTAATAATATACTGGATTTTTAAAATAACACTTAAATTTAGATCAAGCTTTCTAATTTGCTTACCTGCAAAGAATCCAACAACAATTACAAAAAAAAGAGGGTTGCTGCACTACATCTCCTTTAGTACTGATTTCTCCTTACCAGAGGGGCTACAGTGGTAATTAATATTTACATTATGGTAGTGCCCACAACCCTGATCATGATTAGGGCTTACTGGTCTAAGCTCTGTATAAATGTCACCAGAGTCCCTCGTCCCAGTAGTTTAACCTCTGAGAAAAGAAGAGGTATCTCCTACTAACTCTCAACCACAGTTTCTCAAATTATGCTAGAAACCCATTTCCTGGTTTATTAAGACTTCAGCCATTAAAGGCATTTATTCAGGGAGCGCCGTTGCTTGAGATGACTTTCCAAGCTACTTCATATTCTAGAAGTGAGACAGGGAATGTGCATTCCCAAACCATCCCATGTATTTTCATCACAGCCTGTGCCAATCAAGATGCATCTGAAACAATATTGTTCCACGAGCTGAGTACATCTAGTCTTGCATTAAGTTCACTGCTAGTTCTCCACAGAGGTCCTCTGAAATCTAGTTTAGTGCCCTCCTCCTACAAGGAAAAAGGTGTGTTGACCAGAGGAATGACTGCCCCGCACTCGAAACTTCCTTTAGAGGCTCATTAAAATGAGGTAAACCAGAACTGTGAACCACTTAATAAAATCAGGAAGGGATTGCTGATGTACTGTTTTCCACAGTAGCAAGCATAACGAAACAAGGCAACTGGCATCTTAAAAAGTTCACCTGTCCAGGCAACAGTATGTATTATTTCAGACCTACCTGACACTGAAGTCATACAACTATAGATGTTGTAGAACCACAAACTTCTGAGGTCATGGCACTGCACAAGATACAAGTGGCACTCTACCTCCGTTGCTGGCTATTATTTTTTTTGTATAGAAATTGCTCTGCCGCCATGAAAAGACCCAGTGAATAAGTGATGTCGTAGAGTTAACCCATGGAGTTCTGAGTGACCTAGTAAAACACTGATTCCCTCAACTCAACAACCTTCCCCCTTCGACACTGCATGACCTCCAGTCAGCACAAGATGAACCTGAGCCAAGTTGTAAGACTCAGGCCATGATTCCCCACGGCTCACACGGATGCAGCTGAGGGCTGCCGCGAGCCCACCTTCCCTGCAGCCTCCAGCCATGCGTGCTCGCTCCTTCAGGCTTGCACTCACTGACTGCGTTAAACAGCTCAGGGAGGTAAACTGGCAGAAAACTTTCCTTACAAAAAGAAGTGAACTGTCTTCTGTCAGCTGGGTAGCCATTTGACCTCACACCTCAAACAAGCACACCTGACACTGGGCAAAAAAGGACCTTATAAAACAAAGTAAAGTAATAGCAAAACCACCAATGCCTATCTGAAATGACTTTCATACTCATGCCAATAAAAAAATATTAAATTAATTTATGTTTTCTGCTCTTCATTCTATCAACACAATCCAACGTGAACATTTACAAAATTACTCATTAAAGACAAAATAAAGGATTAGACTTCACAGGCACACACAGTCCACTGCTGACACAAGCTCCTTTACTGCAACAACAAATTTGCAGATCTATCATTTGGAAGCTTTTTCCTGTAAGTCTGCTCCAGCTTTCTCACAATAGCAGAAATGTGTATTTTGCTATTATCCCTTAAGTCTCGATAAATATATTCTGTAGTAGCTGTTCCCCAGACAATTTCATTCAGGCTTCTCTCCCTTTATTCCTCCACTCTAATAGGGAACAGTTTGTGTTTATGACTTCCTTTCCTTCACAGAGTACCCAACTCCCATGTTTTCTCAAACGCTTGAGATTTTCTTCTAATTGTGACCCCAACAAAAGTGCTTGGAGCACTATTCTGTGCAACTTTTCATTTGGGCTCTCAGTGACTCCACATGGTCAGAGACCCACAGGTCAAACCCTCCAGATATCAGAGCAGTTAGGAGAAGGAAAGCAAGCATTGTATAGAACCTGACAGGCCATTAGAAGTAGCTAATAAAGCCATATTTTGTTTGTAGCCATTTGTTACCAACCCACATTACAAATTTGTCCGCTTTGAACTTTATGGGAACGTTCAGGCCAGGACTTTTATATACAATGTGTGAAGGAAACGGAACAACTATTGAGCTGTTTAGCTGCGCTTACTGTGACACAAACCTGCTGAAAAAACTCCCCCAAAGGATGACACAAGCCAGCATTCAGTGCCACAGAAAGTGGCCAGCTCCTCTTCAAATCCATCAAAGGGAAACTCTTTTTTCAAAGCCACATCAGAGAACACTATTCACCATTTAGTATTACATCGCTTTTGTTGTTTTTTAGACACTTGTATAAGCTTGCTACGTAGCTGCTCTGATTTTACACAATGCCCTTAAGAAATAAAAAGATAACGGGCAAATTGTATAAATACCAGAATACCATGAAACAAAACATAACCAAATTTTATTAAAAGCGTAACACCACTGCTATCATTTCAAGCTTCACTGTACAAAGACAACTTACTGGCTATCCTCAAGAACAGCATTATCTTGAAAACAAGCTTAAGGAGCCATATTTAGCATCCCAAAATAACACTATCACTAGGAATACTGAACGAGGCATAGTGATCACAGGTCTTCTTAAGCAATCCAAAACTGAATACAGAACTCTCTTGCCCCAGGGGAAAAAAATACCCCATGTTTATACGGTCCAGCCATCCATACCCCAAATAGTTGTATTATAGCATTTATCGTGTTCACTGTACTTTTTTGAATGTATGGATTTTTCCTAATTTCTAAGACATTTTCCTTTGAAGTAAGATGATGGGGAGCTTGCTCACACTACTAAAAAAGGCTTTGTCACCAAATATGAAGGGTTGCAGTTGTTTTTAAATTTGAAACATGAAACAAAAAAACCAACCAACCAACCAAACAAAAAACAACAAAAAACCCAAACCCAAACCAAAATAAAATACAAAATGATAATACCTCCTGTTGTCCTCTATATCCAAACAGCGGGGTTTTTGAGTCAACTCAAACCATTTCATGATTCTATGACATGAAGGGCTCTCTGGTCATGTATCACAGCTCTTCAATAATGAAGTGTCTCAATAACAGCATTTGGGACCAACTTAGAGTTTAAGCTATGTGTCCAAAATGGTTAACATTCACTGTTAATAGTACCAGCTTACTCATACCTAGAATAATAATGAGCTACTAAATATACCAAACACTCAGGGACACAGATAATACCCAATAGTCTGCTTAGATATCATGATGATGGAGGCAGGACAGAGAATGGATTAAAAGTAGGACAATTGTTTAAGAAAAACCACAGGCAAATTAGCAGAACATTAAATGATAAATAACTTTACTTCCCTCTACCCTAATAAACACCGTTCACGAAAAACTGGGAGCTAAAAATTCCCTTTTAATATTGCTGCTTTTTAAAGTAGGTAGCTGTTGCCAAAACAGTTCAATGTCCACAGCAGCTACTATTTTTAAGGTAATTGCCAGCATTCATTCTTGAGACCTGTTCAGAGATATTAGTCTTCTAAAAAAACGTTTCCTGAAAAACTGTCAAATTAATACTAGTTCAGAGCAAATGGCTCTCTCTTCTCACACCGTTTTCCATAGCTTCTCCTGAGACATGCACATCTCAGGCGTCATGTAAAGAATTTGTGGCACATATACTCTCTTAGGTGCCAAAGATATAACTTCAAAATGCTATGAAGATGTTTATTGCCCTATTTTTAGGGGCTGACAATAGTGCCATGTGCCAGAGGTGAAATATACAGCATACTACCAGATTTCACAAATACATTTGGTGTCTTGATAAGGTAAATTCTTCAGAGAGATCCCTCTGCCAACTGGAAATGAATACATGCCCAGTGAACTGCAGGAAATATCCTATATGTTACAATACATAATTCCAAGCCAGAGGTCACATAATTTATAAACAGTTTTCACAATTTAAGCTGAACATATTCTAGTTGGTTTGAATTCATGCTGGTTTACTACCAACAAACAAGAAAATCCCCAAACCAACACAGGCACACAGAGACAGGGCCAAGGAGTACTTTGCCCATTATGGTGAAATAAGACCTTAAAAAATGCAAGTAGTTGCAATGTCTTTATAAAGTATATTAATTTGTGCTGTTTCCCCTACAGCAGTATGCGCAGAGCTCAGAAAAAAATAAGAAACGGTAGTCCAAAATGATATTCTAACCAAAAGATCAACCTAGCCCAAGCATCACTACCGTTCCCACTTCTGCGTTTCTGTAGTAATAGACAGTAGCAGAATTAACATGTCAAACTCATTACTAATGCTCCGGGTCTGGAGCAAATAACTCCTGGCGGCAGTATTCTAAACCAGAATCAACTGAAATCTTCAAAAAGGGCAGAAAAAAAAAAAACTCTTCCTCACCAGATTGTTTTGTGCAAGTATGGAATTCCTAAAGCTAAAAAAAAACCCTAAAAATATCAGTTTCCTCTATGCAAATACACATGTGCACAAGCACAAAACATGCATGCGCATAAATAGTGCTATTTTGAACCAAAACAAGCCTAAGCTAAGTCCACTCAAATACAAGCTGTCTGTTCTCAACAGTTTGTGATCAATCTCATTCAATACTTCTTCCTCTTTCAACATTTCTCATCCACTCATCCTAGATGCAATGAAATCCCACGTAAAGTGCTTTCATTATAAAATACTGAAACAAAAATTAGTTTCTTACTGGTAAGCTCGATGGTCTTTCCTGCTGGATTAGATTCAAGTCTTCATGGTTAGGCTTTCCTGGGGCCATAGGGGGTTGAGATCTGGTTCCATAGCCTTCCTGAGACATGTCCTGCAACAACAGTTGTAACAGAATTATTAACTTGACTCAGTAATTACAATTAAATCTGCATCACAGAAGGGTGAAAATACAACAGTTGAGCGCCGTTTTTTTTTTGATCAGAAGTTTTTACTAGTTAAACCTTCTTGATGTTCATATCCTCCAGCCCGCACAGGTACCACTATGACCTGCGCTGCTTGTAAAGAAATCCAAGGAGTGGAGTGACACACCAGCCAGGAATCATACCACTGGAACATGGGGAAACACACAAACACAAACCTGCTAAATAAACGACCCCATTTTACAGTAAAAGAGTAGCAAGCACAAAGTGGTCAAAACATTCATCCTCCTCGGAGGTGTATTCTCAAGCCTGTTGATGAAATACTGTGCCAGGTGGAAGACTGACTTTCAGTAAGATTGTAATCACGCTGTGTAATCAGACTCCCGTAACAACCCTGGATTTACCATCACTACTACTGGCACAACTTTCAAACACCGGCTCTCAGGTCATAGCACACAGCGCATTTGCTGCATCTGCTGCAGGCATGTTGTGTCCCACGGGTTAGAAGGAAAGCGTATTCGATCAAGAGTAGCTCCAAAGCCTGTACCGGCAACCTGGGGATTTTCATCCCTATACAAGCTCAAGAAGTCCTAGTTAATGGCCTAATACAGCACCCATCACACAGGGGCAGGGGCAGCAGCCAAACAACCTCCCCCTTGCCATCAACCACCCCACAGCACAGGATTACTTCACACCTATAGATACTTGCTCATTGCAAAGCCTTAGATTCAGGCTTGATTTTAGCTACTATAGCAGCTTCTACGCTATGTTCTTCAAGGAAAACACCAGAGAGTGCAATACCGACTTCAGCATGTGTAACTGGCGGGGAAAGTTGAAGAACCAGTTCCCGACTGCTAGAAGAGAAATCCCACCTTAAAAGGTTTTTCTTTATTGTTTTTAAATGCTTTAATTCTCCTCTCCCCCTCTCCTGAGTTTAGCACCAGTCCAATTTGCTCCAGCCACCCTCACACCTTCAGTTCTATGCATACCTGAAAGCAGGCAGGCGCTCCGGGGGCAAAGGGGCAGGCGAAGCTGTCCTCCGTAACACCCCACAGGAGCTTGAACACCCCCTTGCCGCCACTGGCCAAGGGCTGTTCAGACAGCCCAGTCTCCCCATCATCGGCGCTACCGCTCACCCGCAGACCCCGGCCAGCAGCTGGTTTGCAGAGCAGGAAAAGCTTTCTGTCTGTTTTTAGCCCAGCTCCTGACAGAGGGGAATTTGTTAACAACCGCGCTGTTTCCATTCAGCCCCTTCCATTGCTTTGGACTTTCCTGAATTATTTTAAGGGGACGCAGAAAATTCAGCGGGCCTAATAAAACAAACCTCAGCAAACCTGATACGATGTAAACCCAGCAATAAACGATCTTATCGTAAGCCTGTGCCAAGTAAAAAAAAAAAAAAAAAAAAAAATCAAGAAACACTTAAAAGGCCAGCACTTCAATGTGGTTACCAGCAGAGGGTAACAATTAGGCTTAAGGGTGACAAAGGCTGATTGCTGAATGATTATTATCCCCTGTGACCCCCCGCGCTCCCCCCCCGCCCAGATTTCCACTTGTCACACAGCTCTCCTGCTGCGCACACCAGCAGGTTCCTGTGGATTAACAGTGAGGTTTAAAATCAACAAATGGCACAAGGCCTCCATTCAGCAGCCTTCACCCCAGTACAAAGGAGCAGAAAGGTGCAGGACAGCTTCACAATAGGCAAACAAATGAGCAAACCTCTGCTTTCCTTTTTATTTAAAAACGCGCGGGCGCACACATACACACACACACTCACGCACATGCACACTAGGGGCTGTCACTGCATAGGCATCTGTAATAAACCCAGCAACCCCAGATTTCAACTTCCAGTTCAGCGTTCTTCTCTCTTCCTCCTAATTCTTAAAGAAATTACACCAAATAAGAACCACTTGTTAAAACAACAAGAAAAAAACACCCAGAAATACCAAGAGTGGTGAAAAAGGATAAATGGAATATTCAATTTAGGAGACATCATTTTAGAAACACAATTGTTCCTTTTTCCAAACAGACACTACAGGATTTTGCTGGGAAGCAAAACATGTTTTACATTTTGAAGAATCAAGAGCCATTAATGCCTTACAAAGTACAAAGCGTGGTTTTTCCCCGCGTTTGCAAGACTTTAACCTCGCTTCCTACTGAAATTTCCAGGGGGACCAGAGTGGGAGAAGGAAGAGACAGCGCGCTTTCTCATGAGAAATACTTCATGTTGAATGGAATTTAGTTTTACCTGGGTACTTGAAAACCATCTATGAAATGTCATTCTATGCGCTGAAGAGCACATTAAAAACCCCTGACTTGACACCCTTTGCCTTTTTAAATGCACCCCTTTCATAGTGCTTTCCTTTCTGCCTGTGGAAAAAAATCAAATCCATTTGCTCAATTCTAGATGAGGTTTAGAAACAAATACTGCAGACATCCGTGTTTGTTACGATGTGGATACCCGTGCACTCCAAATGGGACTGAGATCACATACTCTTTCTTACATTCTTGGTACAGCCATTCAGATACTTGGATCTCTGGAAACTTGGAAAGCGGCTCTTGAGAAGTGAAGAATCAGTTTGCTCTCAGTAAGTTGCAGGCATGGGAATCTCCCAGATGAAATATGCATGGGGCTGCGTGTATAATTTTACGTGTTTATATATATGCATTGTCCAATAAAAACAGTTCATTTATATACTAAACATAATGACGATTAAATAATAGCATATTTCACTAAGAGGTTGGCTTCATAACCAAAACAGTGCTTAGCATCATTCTCACTGAAAAACAGTGGAGAGAAAATCCCTACTGCCTTTCTTCAGTTCTGGACTAGGAAATTTTGTTAACATACAGCATATTACAGAATAGATACAATAGATTTTGAGACATAAATAAGAAATAAGGGCAGAAGTATTAGGGGAAATTGTTCACCACTGAAGAAATGGATGAAATTGGCAATTCTCACTTTCAGTTTTGAAAGGTCATTTTTCTTTCTAGCATCTAGGAATGGATGTATCAGGGACTGAACATAAGGGAACATCAGGGGAAGAGGAATATATCATCACGTGTTGTGCTACAGCCATGGCTGAGTCGTCCCACTATTGATCCTGGGCCTCAATCTTCTCCTGGGATCCCTCATTTATTTTTTTTTTTTCTTTCCCGGTATTTTATCCATCAATGACATCAGCTTTCAAAGCAAAGCTTATGATTTTTTTATGGATCACAGAAAATCCTTCCTCCCATAGAAGAAGAGCATGTGTGTAAAAGAGAAATCCAGGCTTTTATAAACAGAAGGCTACAAGTTTCCACTCAGAACTTCCCAACTTGGCACAAACCCAATCATATCATAGCTGTTATAGCACAAACTGTCAACAAAGTTGTAAAATAACTAAAAACAGGGTTTCCCCCATCAGATTTCAGAAAAGGCACAGGGACAAATAATCAGCAAGTCATAAACATATGCTCAAAATAGCTGAAGTTTAGACTTTTCAGACTTGTGAAAAAACATTTATACTGTGAAACAGGTAGACAAAAAAAAAGGGACTATGTCTACATATACACAGCCTAAAACCTATGTATTGAGTAAGCGGTT